TTGTTCTCGGTGCCCTTGGTTTGGTACCTCCTGATCTCTTGGCGCAGATCAGGAGAGTGCCCGGGTTCTCCACCGGGAGTACAGCCCTTCTGACACTCTGGGTAATGCAGAAGGCTGCAGTGTTGGGGAGCCTTCATATTCTCCGGAAAGTTCTTGGTGGGTTCCACTAGGCAGCGTTTCCTGGGAGAAGTCCCATTCGCTGTCTGGGCTGCGTGTAGAGGGGGCAAGGGCCCTGAGCTGATGATGAGCCTTACCAGCCTCACTGTGCAAGGATCACCCGAACCCTCTCTGCTGCATACAATCTTTAATCTGTAAAAAATAATAATGCTGAAAAGTTTATATATATATCGCGAAATCCAGCCACAAGGTGGATGCTCAAGCGATACAAAGTGATGTTTGAGTTAATAGAACGGTGAAAAAAGATGCGTTAAAGGATGTGATTAGAACGCAATAAAAGATGGAGACAGCTTTTGGCGAGGGACAGTCTATTCCACAGTGATGGTGCGCAACCACTGAAAGAACACTCTCAACAAGAGGCCAAGGCAGTCTGTAAGAAGGAGTATTCAATAAGAATTGCTTCCAGATCGCAGTTGTCTGGGTGGTTGAACGGGGTTAGCAATGCACTTATATGATTAGATATTCTGGTGCCATGCCATTTAGACTCTTGTATTTGATACAGAGTACATAAAACAACTGTACCGGGTTGTTAGGAAGCCGTGACCGTAGGTAGATTCCAAAGGAACGAATGAATAGGTGAAGAAGTAGACGAAGTAACAGGCTCAGATGACGAAAATTTATAGCCTTTTGTACCAAGTGGAACAGATTGTAGAATGCAGACGAGATCGACAAGTCCCTGACTCAGTGTTTGTCGTAGGCATAAAAAATTTAGGAGTCATAATGATTCTCTAGTGTCATATGAGAAGGAGTCATGGACATGTTTGTGAGTCAACGTCATTTTGAAACTTCCATCAAGACATCAAATGTTGATTGTTTAATAACGACAAACAAAACAAGGTAAGACAGGTCAGGTATTTTAAGCAGCACCGAGCAGTCAAAAAACCAGTCATCGCATAGTTCTAAACCAAGTTAGATTATCTGAACTAATGGCCCAGTAGCAGTTCGTCAACAATGACGCTAGCTTCTAAATTCACTGCCTATTTGAGATAATTGTGTGTCAAATACGCAGGTTATCTGCGTCATGACAAACACTGCTGACTCCCTTATATCTATCCCCCTGAAGGTAGATATCTACCGAGAGTTGAGAAGTGAGAAATTCACATGCCATTTCACAAGTGATGAATGGGAAAGAGATGTCTCGGGAGGCCCTTCTGCTTCACATACAAGGAGACTAATAGGATCAGGTGGTCAGGCTTGCTGACTTGGTTAACACAATAAGTCATCGTATCCCAATTGCGTAGATCGATGCTCATGTTGTTGAACACTTGATTGCCTGGTCCAGACTCGATTAATTACAGACCGCCACCATAAAGCTGGAATATTGCTGAGTGAAGCGTAAAACTTAACTCGCTCACTCCAAGGTTAATACTCAACTACCCGTGTAAAGACCATAGAGCATCTCAACTGCCTACGGGCACTAAACTATGGTTCTTGCCGGCGTCATTCGAGTTACTACGGCTGACGATCCCGTGGGCGTCACCCGACCATAATCAATGCCGTTACCCCACCATTAGACTAACAACTAGTCTCTGAAATGAACATATTTTACTGAAAAAAGTTCATAGTAAAAAAAATGAAATATAATGAAAAGGAGCCCTGAGACTTTCATCATTTTCAGAAGCTGAGGAAATCTAGACTTGCCACATTCTCTAGACTTGTGTGGGCTTTCTTGGATATATTTGCTTCAGGGTCTGTACGAGAGACTACCCCACTATGTGGAAAAACAATTGCCGGCCAAACGGGCTTACTGATAGTAGGGTCAAACCCCCGGAACTGACGGTAGGACCCCGTGCGACTTGTGCCATGGGCAAAAGCTGCCGTCGGTCAACAACGTCGACATAGTCCCGTCCGTCCGTGCCAACCTGATCTGAGACATATCCCGTTATGTCATCCCACTGATCAGCCGGACTACCGGTGGCTACGGTAGACGTCAGGCGAAGTCCGTGTCCCCCGTAGCCGTACGTTACGGCTGACTGGGACGATCCCATATGTGTGGGCCGCAAGGGGTCCACGGGATCAGCCCCGTTATGCTTGTGCGGCTCCAATCCGCCTGTGCGGAAAAGGGTGGCCGACCGAGAGGGCTATTTAATGGGTTGTAACCTTTGCCGGTTGAAACCCTGGGACTGAAGGCAGGGCCCGTGCGGCTTGAGCCATGGGCAAATCCTACCTAATGTCGAAACCGTCGACATAGTCCCTCCCGTTCGAAACCTTAGCTTCTCCCACCATGGGGATCGGCGACCCGGCTTCAGGACGTGTGTGATGCTGGACCGAAATGAGCAGAGCACCGCGCTGCCCTACGGGAAATGACTCCTGACTTTGGGACCGAGCGTGCCCGTCGTCGCATGAGTCATATAAGTAAAGAGCATTTATTGTAAGGGAACACCAAAAATCTATTGCCTCCGTAAAAAAAGAGATCACCCTCTTACGTACTTCAAAATCATGGAATGACTGCCGCATGGATGATTGTGTTTTGGTTGAAGATGACAATAGAGCCGTATAATAGCTGACAAATCGACCTGGCAGGAAGATCAGCTTGATCTAGACTTCGATATGGACATGGCAGATTTCTTATTCTAGAGGAATCTGAAGCGTCTAACAATTATTTCCTTTTTCTAGCCTGATTACGGGCTTATCCATGTTAACCCATTCCTCCTTAGATAAGGCCAAGCATAGCAAACTGCGACTTTACTGTACAAGGGGCTCCTGCAAAACAGGATGCACATTGGGAATGTGGATCTAATTCGGCCATAACACTTCTAGCACTGAACGCATTTATGCTGCAACATGATCAAGTCCAATGGCGGGAAAAAATCAAGCTTCACAAAACGTAATAGAGTAACAATGCGATTGTCTATAGTGACAAAATGCGATCTCAACTGACCGTATTCTTGAAGAATCTGAAGATTTAAACTTGGAAAAATTGTCTTCCACTCTGTACACGTCTGTGTGTGACCATACAGAAAAATTTATGAGGGTGTTCAAAGAACAATGCTGTGAGGTCACAGCTAAGGGAGATAATCATGTCTCTATTTAGGCATACCACTAGGGATAGCTATGACTTAGAAAAAAATTAATCTCTTTCATTCTGTATCTGTGGTACCTACAGAAAACTGGCAATCATAATCCAGAGGGAACGTTTACGACATAATTTTGAATCTACTTTCATCTGCGAAGAGGACACGGGGCCATTGACGTTGATTCCAGCAGCCATGATGTCTACTCATCTCAAACGTGCCTGCCTGTGACGTGGTGGACGAACTGCAGGTCGCCTATAGCAGAGTCCGACTGCCCTTAAACGTCGACGAACGGTGCTCCTGGATATCCCTACGTATACATTGTTAACATTGAAGTGTTCTGTCTGAAGATCTTTACGTAACGCAGTATTAATAATGCACCTATCATCTCGGACTGTAGTGACTCTGGGTAGACTAAGGCTTAGTCTCTGAATATATATAATTTTGATAGTAACAAACAAGCCCATTTATATTGAAAAGGAGCCCTAGGGAGACCAGAGATTCAGAACCTGAGGAAATCTAGACTTGCTTTATTTAGGGCTTAAGCAGCGCAGAGAGGGCTTGGCAGTAGGGAAATTAATGTGGTTCAGGGACTGTGAGACAGACTATGACTCTGGGGTGACCTGGTCGATGTGCATATTCCACGGACCCATTGGCTTGAAATCTCTGCCCCAGTCTACCAATAGCACTCGGTCTCACATTAAAGTGGAAGGCAACTTGCCGCTGAGTTTGACCAGATTCCAAAAGGCCCATTTCAGCAAGTGTAAAAAACGTCTCATTTTATGCTTCGATTTCAAACAGGTAATTGAACAGTGAACGACAGTAAAAACACATCAATGCATGTGTATTGTCCTCCACTTTCCATGGACAGAGCGTCTTGACATTTACTCATTGACATTAAGTAGGTGGCTTTCCACATTGACAATTTGAATAAAAAATGTGCCATTTGTAACAGAATGTATCGGACGTTAAAGAACATAATAATGACATTTCAACGGCCTGGTGTATTTTTCCATACTGTTAAGAAAGTTGTTAACCATTCAGTGGTATATATTTCCAACAAAAACGAAGATATTACAACTTTTATGAAATAGTGTTCCCAATAGTGAGTGAATGAGTTTAGTTTTACGCCGCACTCAGCAATATTCCAGCTATATGGCGGCGGTCTGTAAATAATTGAGTCTGGACCAGACGATCCAGTGATCAACAGCATGAGCATCGATCTGCACAATAGGCAGAGTGCGGCGTAAAACAACTCATTCACTCACTATTGGGAACACTATTTCATAAAAGTTGTAATATCTTCGTTTTTGTTGGAAATAGATACCACTGAATGGTTAACAACTTTCTTAGCAGTATGGAAAAACACGTGTCAACCAAGTCAGCGAGCCTTACCACCCGTTAGTCGCTGTTCCCAATAGCTTAACCCTTCATTAATGACACTGAGTATATGACGCTCCAGGACGGAGCTTCTGGACGTGAACCAGAATGATCTATAATTACTCAACTTAGGACTTCTACATTACAGGGAGTGCTAGGTGAATGGGACAATAATATGATTCAGGACTGAGACTGACTGAAGCATGCAGTCAAAATACACTTGCTTTTGTCACGAATGCATCTAAAATTCATGGTCATACCTTGAAGATGCCAGGTAGAGTTGGTCTTCAGCATGCTTGTCTTTGTAAGATGACAAAGTGATGCATTTTTGAGTTGTGATCTAACACATTCAGCAAAAGGTGCATAAAGTTTATGATTTATGAGTTGTGGAGAATGGTAAATGTTACAAGTAACCACAAAAATAGTGTATTTCAAGCACATTTTTATTCAGTTTTGATTTCTGTGAAAAGATCTGCACATACAAACATGATGATAATAGCCAGATAGAGGGATGAAAGTGTTGACTAGTTCAAGCCACGTTTAATCTTGTTTGCTTGCACAGGCAGTTGTCTCAAAGGTTACCATGTCCACAGTTTCACAATATCTGCTGCTACATGAGCTTACTTGCACAAATGAAATTTCTGAATGTAGACAAGTTGATTTGAGTGAACATAACAGCTTTTGAGATGACCCCTATAGAGAAATGTCCGACAAGATTCAGATGTAGTGTAATTAGGCAAAGACCATATTGAAATATTCAGCAGCCAACAAGTCATTCATATTGACAAGAAGTATATACAAGGAGGGGCATAACAGTCAATAAAATACAAGAACTTCGCTTTGTCCTTTTCCTGACCTGAAAGTGAAAATTCTGATTTTCTAAATAAAATACAAACCCATGAAGAGAGCACTAACTTATGAACATGAAAACCATTTCAACCATCGACTAATGGTTCGAGGGTAATTAATTAGAAGGCACAGAATATAAAGTGGAAAAAGTACACAAAACCACTAGATTTTACAATTTACCCATCTTAAATCTAAGAGTTCCCTTGTAACTTGATGAAAATAGTTGAAGTCAGGAAAATGACAAAACGCATTGTAAAAAAACATCATATAAAAACCTTAGCATATATTAATTGGAAGATTAGTACCCAGTCAGTGCTAATGGGAACGAAATCACAAACACACAGGAATGTATCTTATAATTATGCATAAATAGTTCTCTCCTGGATGTGAGCTATGCACTATCTTGGTCTTATCATGCTTATGGTGCCATAGGCTAGGCATTATGCAACTTATTGTTTCATCAGCAACCAAAATAATCCAAATTATAAGATATAAACCAACTTCAAGATATTATATGATGGTTTGCAAGCATGAAACATTCAGCAACTATTTTTCATCTAGCTCCTTCTGAGATTATTTAGTTTCTGTCCTGAACGGCATGTTAGATCTCAAGTTGAACTGAAACCAGCAATACACAGAGTTCAGGTGTTATGTTGAATGTTACAGCTGATGAACCTGGGATTGGGTCAACACAGCTCTGAACCATGTAAAGAGAGGGCTGCCAATCTCTCAACTTCATGCCTCCTAGCGGCAACTAAGATGCTTGGAGCTAACATTGCACTACTTGACATCCTACATAAAATAAACAAATGTGCAACCAAGAGGCTTATCTACAATGAAATGAAAAGGTGATCTAGCAAAAGTATGAGTAATACAGATGACAATGTTGGATGTGTTGGTGTCAACCGACATGTTAATATGTTAATACCATACATAAAAGCCATGGAGAAAGAAGGGTAGGTAACTCTTACAGATAATTAGACATGCCCCATCGGACATGAACAGTTTCAATTACTAATCAGATGACACATTTCTCACATCAAGGACATGGTTATGACACACAATCAACGACAATATTAATATCCGCAATATCAGATCTTTTCTCCAGCACAAAAAGTCACATATATTATGACCTTCAACGGACATTTCCACTAAATGCACTTGATAATATATATGGGAATGGAAAATGGCTCCTCCACATCTAGGGGAGAGCACTCTACTTGAAGCAGAGGACAGAAGCACTCTAGTAAAGCATGTACACTGGGCTGTTGGTCAGTACAATTATTGAACATGGTACTTTCATGATGGTAAGCCGTTAGGGAAATCACCTGAAAACAATGCTTATTTCAAGATATAACAAGAATACGGGACATTAATATTCTTTGCACACACACACACACAGCAATACAGATCTTGCATTGGGCACTGGTATATAACAAAAACAAAATTAACATTTTTCGATCATAAATAACAAACATTGCTTGTAATGTTCCAAAAACAAATGTTATAAAAATATACAAATGTAATTTGCTGGTGCAAACCAACTTGTATGTATGCCTGTCTTGAAACTTTGGAATTTCAGTCTGCATGCCTCCTTCGCTACCTCGGCAACAACTGCGATAATTAACATAAGCACGTGATACAGGACTCGTATCATCCCAGAAACCAAAAACACAACTTTATGAAGACCAATCACAAATGATAAATAATAATTTGGCACTGACAGAAATTACAACTAAATTACACATCCATAAATCTCAAAATCAAGAGGTAGATTAAAAAGCTTAGACTCAAGAATGCTTGAAGTTCTAATAGACGGAAAGGGCAATTAGCTGAACAGTCTACTGGGCTAAAAGAGATAAACCCCAAAATGATCCTGTCTCTAAGAAACTTATGCATCACTAATCTCAAACTAAACTGATGACATTTTCCCCAGCTAAAACACATGGCCATGATAATGGCAGTCAAGTACCTTCTAGGTAATATCCTGTAGAACTGATCACATAACGGCAGTGATTAACCAGTATTGCACGGATACTTTGCGGCCATGATTTTCACTTGAATATGCACTCGATGTGAATAACGGAATTATGTTATAACTGTTACATTGTATGAATGAATACAAAACAACCAAAGACTTATCTGGATTACTGGGAGAACTTCACATGAACTATCAAAATAACATGACTAGAACTTGTATAACATATCAAAATATGTTGGAGTGAGGCGCTCGGAGCTGCATCCTACAGTCCCTCCATGGTAATAAAGACTGTTTCCCTCATCTGCAGCTGTGCACATGTTGGAATGACTGAGATGATAGCCTTCTTCCAACACATGACAAACATAGCAGATGTGTTAATTTCAGGTAATGATTCCAATGGATGCACGACTTTCATCAACTACATGGATCACCACGTAGTCTACATATAATCCAACTGGCTCCATGAGATGTGCCTGATCTATCACTAGTTACAAGGAGACCGTTCCCATCCCTCTAATCTGATTGCTAGAAAGCCTTTGAATATATACTACCTGAAACAAGTTAAAGAGCACCAACAACTAGAAGGCTGTGTGTCGCAATACCATCAACCATGACAGATCAAACGCAGTCGCATGAAGTCAGGGCTCTTTAACTTCTTTTGAGCAACTTACATCACTAAAGTTGGGCCTTCTTCTTCAAACTTGAGGCCCTTGTACATCTAGGATCTAAAGTTGGGCCTTCTTCTTCAAACTTGAGGCCCTTGTACATCTAGGATCTAAGTTGGGCCTTCTTTTTCAAACTTAAGGCCCTTGTACATCTAGGATCTAAAGTTGGGCCTTCTTCTTCAAACTTGAGGCCCTTGTACATCTAGGATCTAAGTTGGGCCTTCTTTTTCAAACTTAAGGCCCTTGTACATCTAGGATCTAAAGTTATGCCTTCTTCTTCAAACTCGTGGCCCTTGTACATCTAGGATCTAAAGTTGGGCCTTCTTCAAACTCGTGGCCCTTGTACATCTAGGATCCCAGCGACTGTGTGAACACTTGACAATGTGCACAGTTGAACTGGGTGTGGAGAAAGCAGTTGGGAACATCACAACCAGCATCTTTGACTACTACGTACAATACAGTGTGACTACTACGTCTAGGAGGATTATATGGGTTATGATGTGTTGCACACGTTTGAAGCAACAATTGCATCACTCATTTAGATACGTGGCTACTGCAACCAATGATAAAATACTCTTGAAGAAAACAGACAAAACTCATCTGCTCTACATAGGTCCTCATAGGTAAGGCATTTGATCTGATGTTATGAATAGTCTTCCACGGAGACTGTGAAGTTCTTAGGTCAGCAGAGCCCATGTTTACCCCTATTGCACCAGTACTGGTTGTTTCTGTCCTTGCACAAAGCTGCCATTCCTGACAAAAGTATATTTCAAGTCACCCAACACCTGGTTCAGATCTTCCACTTACTGATCCATCATTCCATAACAACATAACATTTCACAATGTAAGCACTTCGTGGCTTGTATGTGGTGCTTCGTATTTCACCATGGTGTAAATTTCCATTCAACAGACATTCTGAAGAATATTTGTCTTGTAATTTGGTCCTCCAATGTGGTCAACAGGTATGTTGGTGACCTAAGACTCCTTGTAACTTCCAGCCTCATACAGTGTATGCCAGTACGACAAGACCAACTCCTCATGAACTTTTGTCAGTACGTATGTCATTTAATAATTCAACTCTCAGCTACTGGCTTGAGATAAACAATGTACCTATTAAGGCAGGTCGCTTCCAGTCTGAGAATTTCACACTTCCAATGATAATATCTAAACGAGATGATCTGGCTCCTTATACTAGAGTTGACATAGCTGAGGCATTTGCTGGCTCGGGGGACTTTTGAACTCCATACTGACCAATAAAGGACCCATCTTCATTAAATTTTCCAGGGTCAACATCACCATAGTCCTCCATGCTGTCCGTCTCGTCATACTCAAGTGGCATCTTTTCTGGGTTGTTCTCGAACGAATTACTTTGTCCAACTCCATTCTCATCACTGGAGACGAAAAAGGGAGACACATTATAGCAAACATCATCTGAGACAAACACATTAAAGAAAACCATTCCACCAGGAAATAGTGTCATTTATCCTTCATTATTAAGATATCATGTAAACATGGATCATGCAACAACCTGGTGATTTATTTATTCTGGTTAATGCTAACTGGCACAGGAGCTCAGAGTGGGATTTGTCCAAGGGGAAAGTCTTCTTTCTCATTCCCCCAGTAATTTGAGTCATGTTTGAAATGAGGTGCTTCCCACTGTTATGTCAGAGGAAAGGTCCAAGTCCACTGCGTGAGCTCCTGTACCAGGTGCTACTACAGAAGTAAAGTAGGAGAGAGGAGAGACAAGCATGAGAGATGAAGCAAGATGACAGATCAGGAGTCCACACACTGGTCAGAGGAGGGAGAGTATCATTCATGTCCACACATGATCACACACAACACTACATGCAATCAGAAATAACCTTTCAGAAATATTAGCCAAAATAAATCCTAGAAACAATTTGTAATCACAGGCAATCACACAACTAGATGCTAGTAGGGGTGAGGGCTACTTTTGTTAAATAGTATTATTCACAGCTGTTTGGAGGACTAAAGTAGAAACCTTTCATGGAGTAAAAAACTAAATGAAACTTTTTCATTCATTAATAGTAACAAACCGTATGATTTATTTAATAACTACACCTATGGTTCGCTTGACCAAAAATTAATGTTTAGTGATATTAAACTAATTTTCCATTTGTTAACAGTAACAATAACAAAAAAAGGACTTATTTTTTAAATTATTAAATATCTGGAACTGTTGGAACAGAAAATCCAGTAAGGCTTATGATGTTATATACACAATATGCAAGTGATATACACAATATCACATGTTGGCGAATATGAAACCTACATCTAATCCATGATGTTATTAAAACTGAATCTGGCAGTCAGTACATGGGGCTATTTGAGGCATGCTTATACATGTTGACTATATGGACTGATGGGCTGGTGTTTGTAGTGAACCAGTATATCGACTCCCTGGAGAGCGTGACAGGGAAGGAATACCTCTTTGCATACTCATTAAAGTGATCCTGTCCGTCATCAGGGTTGCTGCCACGGAGACGCTCCTTCTCTTGCACTGCAATGACACTTGACACTTCAGGCAAAGTAGAATCCACTTAAGTCAAGTTAATGGTAACAGTATTTCTCCGAACAAAACGTGGGAACCAATGTCCGAAATAGTTGCAAAATTTCTGTCAGGATAAGTGAAGGTTATTCCAACTTGCCCATTCATAAACATCATAGCTTACTTGAGAGTAATTGTAGACTACTTGACTTAATTCAGTTCTTATATTTTAGTTGTGTATAAAAACATTTCAAGTTTGTGTTGATCTCAGAAAGTTTTGGTTTTGGTTTGGTTGTTGTTTAACGCCGCACTCAGCAATATTCCAGCTGTATGGCAGCAGTCTGTAAATAATCCAGTCCGGACCAGACAATCCAGTGATCAACAGCATGAGCATCAATCTACGCAACTGGGATACGATGACATGTATCAACCAAGTCAGCGAGCCTGACCAGCCGATCCCGTTAGTCGCCTCTAATGACAAGCAAAGGTTGCTGAAGACCAATTCTAACCTGGAGTCTTCATAGGGCTCAGAATGCAAATCTAAGCAGAGGTTATAATAAATACACTCTCTAGCAGATGGCAATGGCTTAATTTTGAGTTCAATTCTTACTTGATTTAAGATACCCCAGCTATAGATATTTGATTATTGAGTAGATTGAAATGATCTAGTGGAGAAAGTATTTCAAAGGGAAGTAACTCATTACTAACCATGGTATTTATCTCCCCTGTTTCTCTTGATGATGCAGACAATGATGAGGATGAGAAGCAGAATGGCAATGGCCACCATCATTCCAATGAACCATCCGGCACTGAGTACATTGGCCTTCTTTGCCGCTGAAAAACAAAAGACAGTTGTTGTTAGATGAATCCAAAGTTGTAGGTGAAGCATATGTACAATACTATATTTTATCTTGAAATATTGGAACCAAAACAAGAAAAAAATAACTGTCAACAGTGACAGGACTGCTTAACTTACATCCATGGGGCAAACTGAAATAAACTGACCATTCAAGGTCTGAAGATATCTCAAGATATCTCAGGGAATTTTGAAAGTAGACATACTTGAATTACAAAGTCACAGTAGTGTTTTTGATTATCTGTGCAGGGGAAATCTCATGCACAAACTGGATTGTCTTAATATTGTCCATAAAGCCGATAACTCTAAGAATCTGTGCATTCTTGTGAAAGTTAATGTTCATGTGAATTTGTGCATAAATTAGTAAGAACTCAAAATGCAAGAAATGCATTCACTTGTATTTAGTTATTTGGTAACCTTGATTTTGGAGATCTTTTGACACTATAAAAGAATTAGCAGTAAACATCAAATGATCTCTCAAACCATAAGGCTTATGACAAGTCACACTGAGGTTGGATGTCTACATCAGGAAACATCACAATCACTTTAGTGTCAGCTCTATATAACACATTAGTATAAATGATATCAACTGCAAAACAATGAAGAATATTAGGCCATACATGCCAAGTTGCAAACAACATCATTTAGAAACCCATGGCAACCCATCACAATTCCCATGTGTACAATACAAAAGAATTATGAAGACATTCTTAACAACCATGGAATTAGTGGGTTTTGTTTCCCTGGGAACATACCACACATACTATTACATGTGTCTCCAGCCCTATTCCAAACTGTACCCACATCCAATTCAGCAAACAATAAGCAAGGGCAGCCATGAAAGCTAAGCCAATACCAACCCTAGACTGGTGAACCCTGTTACCCTGATGCTCCGTAGTGACCTGTGCTGCAGGCGTCATATCTCGCCCAACACACACTCACCAGATATCTAGCTTCACACACATTCACTGGCTAAGCTGGGACAACATAAACATAAGCACCATACTTGCATGTGTGTCAAGGTCGGACTACATCACCAACAAAATAGGGTCTATAGTGGAACATGATGAGTAGGCTTTGTGGTAGTGACTTCATAAATGAGCAATTCTGCATGCTGAAAAAGGCCAAACAGCTTCTGTTGATGTGACACAAAATGTGTTCACACAAATCAGGAACTTTGGAGTCAACTCAGAAGCAGGAAGCGGGCGCTGACCATTACATCATCCAGCTCTTCTTCATAATAGTGTTATACTTCAGACATTTTACAATGCCCTCGTATAGCGTCCATAACGAAGAGGTCCATCTTAACAGTAACCTACTGACTGTCAACCTAACAACTCCTAGCCCTCACTTGAATATTAACATGCACAACCTTATGAATTTGACATCATCATAAGAGCAGATTGCTGCAATCCCATCATGCATCAGTGCAACATTTACATCCAATGGCAACCTTCTACATGATCAATTGTTCACTACATGCGCGGCGGCAGCAAAGGCCAGAGAGAGATCTGTACAGAAGGTATGCCTAGCAGTCACGGGCGCTGTATGTCGGAGAGAGAAGAGATTATCATTCCTTAACAAACTCCATACATACCTTCCTCACTGTCAGTATTAATAAGAACCTCATTTGTGTCCTTACTTACTACACCGCCTGTAAACATAGCAACCTCGTGATGAACCTCCGACACTCAACACATCAATCTAACATCAAGGCAGATGGCGCTATCATATACACTTGTCATTGAGAGGATCACCAACACAGCGACATCAACATGCTGTTAATATCGAGATCGGAAAAACGTGGGTTACAGCTACCCTTGAGTGTTCAACAATGTAAAGCATGGGCTTCTACATAAAACATCTGCAGTCATTGGAAATACTTCAGTTCAATTAGGGGTCCTAACATACATGGAGAACTTTTGCCCTCAACCTTTGATGAACAACCATACGCTAATGAATACACATCTACCTCCCCGTATTCAATACTACATCATTGGCCTACATATCAGAATATTGTTATTAATTCTATCTGTTGGCTGCATGCATGGAAACAATTCTGTTGTATCATGTTAATTATACACCCAGCTAATGAAGGGCTACACGTGAATGGAATGTCAGTACTAACATCAACACACGAGGGATTGGTACCACAAGTAATATGGTGCCATGCAGACGGATCACCGACTCTTCATGGAACTTGTGTTATGCAGTACATGCTGATTAATTTCCACGTTTAGAAGAAAAAAAATACTGATAAAACCTCCAGTAGAATTGTTGGCGGTTTCGTTTGCATTCAGGTAAGCGAAGACAGGAAAGAAGGTATCTGTTGTAAACAAATATGTTGATAAACCTCTGCTGAAAATATGTTACGAATAAGGTATGCCAAGATAACATCATTAACCTCCAACTTTTTCTGAATACATAATATACCTGGACTACTGCTGCTTATCACACAGTAATAATATTTCTGTTCATAATTATCTATTACCTTAGCTAATATCAGAAGTACAGAGATTATACATATGTACCAGAGATCTAAAGGTTTCCACAATAGTTGTCATGAACACCTTATATCAGAATGAGAAAAACCACTGTGGTCTGGAGTAATGTCGCCATTACACGACCTTCCTAACTACTGCACTGTGTTACAAGTGATATACACGCCACTGGCTGCGTGAAATACGCCTTCAAACCAATCAGAAGCAGCTACTGCCCTCTCACATGCATGTTCATATGTCAACGTTTGAAAAATATCTGTAAACATGTAAGCAAGGTGTTAAAGATAATAATAGCACATGTAGTAAGCCATGAGACATTAATAAGAACATGGACGAATACTTAGACAACACTGTACGCCATCAAGAAGATTCTTGACATTATCTTAAACATAGTCGGGTAGCCTCTCTATCACCAGTGTTGCTGTTCTACCATTGTATGCAGCGGAGAAGATAATATAGTACTTGCCTACACCCGTGGTAGTAAATGTGCGTGGGTCACTGGCAGCTTCCTGGTAACTCTCGGTGCCATACTGCCCAGTCTTCGTCACCACACGCACCTTGTAGGGAGTTGCTTCCTTCAGACCTTCAATCTCCTGCCAGAAGTCTTCATGCTCTTCTTCTGCAACACTGTCCCAGTCATTCTTCGTAAGTTGGCGATATTGCAAGAAAGAGCGAGCTCCCACAGGCCGTCCTTCGATGTCTGGGATCCGCCAGGTCATTCACAGCTGTTGCTGCTGCCCTAACCTCGTCAATGATGGGACGAACAAGGTCTGGAAGAAATTGACCTCAATATTTGGCAACGTTACAACAGAAAAATTGTAGTTTATTGCATGAATAGTTCGGGTTGAAAATTCCACTGTAACTCTTGTCATTAGGATATTTGCAAATTGTGCATCTTTTAAGGTTTGTAAACACCAGTTGTGAACTGGGTTTTTCCAAAGTAGGCAATTGTCTAAAACGTGCAACACTTTGAGCGTTCTTCTAAAGTCATTACAAGAAAAATACTGTTACACTTTTACCATTATTATTATTATTGTTATCTGTTATACAGTCTGGGGTTTGTGTCACACCAGCCATTGGCTTTACTTATGGAAATACATTAAAATCTATTATGAACAGTGATTGTCTGAGTTTACCTGATGTGTGTTCAGCTGTGCGCACGTCGATGTAGTACTCCTCCCCCCTGACCCTCCTGCGTCAGCCCCCACACGTACACGCGGTACGCTGTGTCAGGAGTCAGGCCTCCAAGGAACACGCGGCGCTTCGTCACGGTCTTACCCACCTCCAGCTCACCAATCTCAAGCCCTTGGACTGAAAGAAACAACACATAATACATATCGAATATTCTCTTCTGAATTAGGAACAGTAGAGACTCATTGTCTGATAAGACAATGTTTTGGACCCTATTTCCAATAAAATACAAAACACAATTGTTGTGAGAATAAATGTATTATCTATAGCAGACTGAATCTAGCTGCAACTCACTCTTCTTGTATCCGACCTTGTACCCAGTAACATTGCCATTTGGCTCCTTTGGCTCCCCCCACTCAAGCAGGAAGTGTGTGGAGCCACGGTAGAGGGCATCTAGATACTCAACAGCTGAGGGCACTGAAAGCATACAGAATATGTAGGGTGTAAAGAGGAACTCTCTCCTTATCTCTCATTGTCTATACGACATGGTCAGACACAATGTTGGTAAGGTGTATCATGAATACTAGCCATCAGAGACTCCTTACCTCCTTCTGGTGTTGAGAAGTTGACGATGTTGCTGCCATTAGAGCTGAAGTAGTTGTTGACTACTACAACGTCGGACTCTATTTCTGCATATGAGGGTAAGTTACGCACTTCCGCCCTCATCTTGTCGTCATCTGCTTGTCTTCGTTTTCGTCTGGAGTCCTCCTTGACTGAGTCAGGGATGAACACTTCGTGCATTGTTGTCTCCTTCTGATCCTTCTTCCAGTAACGAATCTGTCATTGAATCAACGTCACTGATTGGTCAACACATGTAACCCACACATAACCAAAGTAGTATAGACAATGGGGGTACAGGATCAACCCCCAGGTTAAGGGTTTTACCTCAATTCGGCTCCTACACCCCACTAAAAACAGGGTAAATTTGGGGCAACATCAAATTATGCCATCCACACAAATTTATGCCAAGATTGTTACATGATTATCAGTTGCTACACAATTGCATAAGCAGGATTCAGTATTAGCTTAGAGTGCTACGTAGCATGTAGCATCCTCACAAGGTTCATAATGGCTACAGTCCTGCAATGTTACTGATTCAGAGTTGCTTGCCTTTCTAAACAATGGCAGACGAGAAGGTTGATAAATATAAGCAAACTATATTTTTATAAGTAGTTTTGTGTCATATAATAAAACAGTTCACTTCACTTTCGCTTGATGCGATGATCTATAGACCTTGGACAAGTGATAAATCATTGGATCAACCAAAAGTGAAATCAATAATCTCAAATATATTGGATGGGAAATATTACTAATCAATGCATCACTGCCATCACCACTGGAAAGTGCAAATATTATTGATATGAAAATTGTGTCCACGTTAATATCGAAAACTACTGTGATGGAATATAGTTTTTAATTCCACACACAATACATAAAGTTAGTGTTCATGGGCTGTTTTTTTAAAGTTTTGATTGTCAAAGGAACCTTCCGATATTCATCCTACTTTTGGGTACCGATTTCTGATCTATATTGATAGGCAGCCTACACCACTCTGTGTTCACGACACATGTCCTCCCACCATGTTCGGGCACGTACCTTGTAACCTTTGTATTCTCCCTGCATGGACTCTGTGCTGGTGTTGACGGGATCCCAGCGGAAACCTGCACTTGTTGCCGTCACATTTTTGTCAGGGTCCAGCTCAAAGTTGCCAGGGACAACAGTGGGGGCTGGAAACACATCCATACAATCAATCCTATATCATCAATTTTGGGGTTCTTTTTTATAAATGTTGTTCCACTTGAACCGCGGTTCTGAATGCCATGAGCTTGCGAGTTCCAGAAAAATATACATTTATTAGAGAGCAGTGTGGTCGTTTGAAATGTCTTAAGTTTGCAAATGCCAACTACACAACATCCTACCTGCTTCCCCAGAGTGGCCCAGGATCTCCTGGGCTTTGTTGTATGGCTGTCCAACTACGTTCTGTGCCCTCACTATGATGTAATACGGCTTGTAAGTTTTGTTGATGAAGATCTCCTTCCGGCCCACTGTGAAATCAGACCGACCAGGTTCATGACACTATCCCCATCCTTCTCCCTCACCGATATGTTGTAGAAGAAGTCAGGAGCATTGTGTTCAATCTGGGGCATAGTCTGAACAAATACACAACATTTTGGTATTAGTAGCCAAACAAAACTTACATAATGAGAGTGAGAATTATTTATGTGCAATTTGGCTATACTTATCTATTGGAAAACTATAGTTGATGGCGTAAGTTAACATATCTGTGATATCTTCCTCAGGCACAGCAAGTATTCATGCTTGATCAGGTTTGATGTAATAACAAAAGGAGTACTTTATATTTTTAGAGGTACTTGTCTGTTCCAAATGTAACAGAAATAAAGAAAGGAATTAAACCATGTACACAGAAAACTTCTTGTTCTACACTGGGTAGTAGTGCTTCTGTACAGGGTTAGTTTATGTGAAAGTTAGCTGAGCGGTTTAAATTATAATAAAGGTACCAAATACTTATTTGGCTGACTGCAGATCAGATGTACAATTGTTCACATGACTGCTATGTTCCTCACCTCCCACTCCACGACCAGGTAGTTGGTCTTGTCGCCGACAGTCTGGACCTTCCGTGGATGCCTGTCCGGACGACCTTGAGGTGTCTTGCACTCAGATGGATTTATAGCACTTGGTTTCCCAACACCGATTTCATTGATGGCCTTCACACGGAAATTGTATCTCACCCATAATGAAAGCTTTATTTTGGCCTCACGACTATCAGCAGATGGCCTTGCACCAGTGACCCAGTTGTCTGGGTTGAAGGACGTGTTGTATTCCACAATAAAGCTTTGCAGCGGAGAGAAGTTTTCCTGATTCTTATCAAACTGCCATTTCAAAATGGCGTCATTGGCATAGCACTGCCTCAACGACACATTGTATGGTGGATCAGGTGGTGCTGAAGAATACAAGAACAGACGAAGTTGAACGTATGACATGATGAAAAGACAAACAAAAGGCATGTATTTTGGATGAGTAATTCCTCAAAATCTGAACTTTGAAATATATTTCAAACAAATGAACAAATTTTGCAATTCTTGTAAAATCCTTTGAGGACAAGTTTACCTTTGACCTGTAACTTGGCAGTAGCTGTAGCATTGTCAAGGCCATTAGATGCCATGCATGTGTAGTTGGCGGTGTCTTTACTATTGATGTCAATGATCGTCAGTATGCCGTCATTAATGCTGACCCGGGGATCATCCTCTTCAATACGGACACCATCACGCAGCCAAATATACTCCAAGGTCTCATGGGGGTCCGTGATAGCCCCACAAGTGAAGGTCGCCTCGTTACCGTAAATTAATTCAAGGTCGAGTGGTATGGAATCTATTTTGGTCTTCTCTGAAATTCAAAGAATTGTTACATTAGGAATTGCAATGAAATAAATCTATTTCTTGTTACCAACACACAAAAGTTGTTTGAAAAATCAAGACTTTCTTGGGTAGTGCTCAATCACAAACCAGAATGCAGAATCAATGTTGAAAATTATATCTTTTCTGACATAATTGCACCTCAAGATTTGCATTAACATGTGTTTTCATGACAACCTAAGAAACCACACAGTGATCCCTTGCTACAATGCTAACTTTGGGTCACAATAATGGATGAACGTTACAGATGATGAGCTGTTTATTCAAGGTGGAGTTGGATGGGGTAGACGACATAGTCAGCAGGACTTGCTCAGGGTACCAAACACGATCTATGCTGCTATAACCTTGCCTCTGTTTATCAGAGAAACATACAATATAGAAGTTGTGTATGCTTCATGGCATAAAATAAAGGAAAATAACTGAGTGTTATGAAGAAACTACATCATTTCCATTTAGTGAATTCAGAACATGGATTGAAACTAGTATTATTTCATCAGGTGTAATATCTTCCTATATGTTATTTCAAGTACAGCTTCTACTATTTATATCAGGTATGTATAAAATCCTGATAACGACAAGCATAGCACTTCCGGTACAGTTGATTGATATTGTTGGATTGCTTTTATGCATGGATTATTTGACTGTTTACCATTAGGAATTCCTTGACATGTATTTTGATTAAGAAAATGATATCTAACATAAAACAATCCAAATGGAACCAATATGACATTTAAGACTCAGAGTATGGTATTTGGGACGCATCCATGCTCTGATAACTACAGTTTTGGTTCAAGGTGTCATTACTGGTAATCTGATGGTGGCTGGTGTAAATGATAGCAAGTGCTATATCAACCCATGAAGATGTGGGTTAGAATTGATCCTTAGCAGCTCATGTCATAAGAGGCGACTAACGGGATTGGGTGGTGAGATGGTGAGACGGTGAGGTGGTGAGGCTCCTTGACTTGGTTGACACATGCCATCGTATCATAATCACAAGATGGTTAAATAACAGGATTAACTTGTTTATTTCAGTTGGGCTCTGTTAATTGGTGCTTATGTTATTCCATGCTCTTGGTAATTCATTTGTGTTCGCAGATACAGTGTAAAATTGAAGTTTAATAAATAGGATGGTAGATTTCAGGAACCTTTTCTACTGCACACTGAGTTATAACATATTGGAGGGTGAGGGAACAATTACTTTCAATGAGTGCATGTGTGAGTTCAATAGAACACCGCTTCAAAAGGTATTTCATCATACCATGCTTGATGGCTCAGCTAGTATTGGAAGAAAACCTGAAGTGATTCAGGTTTCATACGATTACCACTTTGGTAAAACCAGATACTTCTCATAGTTTTGATGAATATTTGTAAATGCTTACTTCTGACTGTGAGTGTTCCATTAGCTTCATCCTTCCCGAACCGGTTACTGGCGTAGCACTTGTAGTTGCCAGTGTCCTTGTGATTCACATTCTGCAACACCAACAACACGGCCTGCTTACACTCCAACACCAGGGCCAGCAACACTATCAACACGGCCTGCTTACACTCAGACACCAGGGCCAGCAACACCAACAACACAGCCTGCTTACACTCTGACACCAGGGCCAGCAACACCATCAACACGGCCTGTTTACGCTCCGACACCAGGGCCAGCAACACCATCAACACGGCCTGCTTACACTCAGACACCAGGGCCAGCAACACTATCAACCTGGCCGCTTACACTCAGACACCAGGGCCAGCAACACCATCAACCTGGCCGCTTACACTCAGACACCAGGGCCAGCAACACCAACAACTACAACCTAGTCAGGAAACTTTCTGTCCATGCACCCACCATGATGAGGAGATCTCCATTATCCTGTACGACATGGCGGTCCCCGGTCAGCCGCTGGTTCCCCTTGAACCATTTAACGGTGGGCTTGGGTTTCCCGGAGGACTCGCATGTCAGTGTGATTGTCTGCCCCTCGGCCACCTTCAGTCTGGGCAAGGGTTCGCGGTCGACATTGGCTGGGATGGCTGCAACAGGAACAAGCTCTGAACTAGTACCAACACCACTGCTTGTAACTTGTGCACTGCTTCATGAACATAATGTAATCTCTACTTCTTCACACAGATTTTTAAATGTTTTGGTTTATGGATCAGCCAACTGACTTTTTTTAAAACTATATGTGCAGTAAAAACTACATAACATCTCTTAAGGGCAACAAACAGGTGACAACAAACTTGGTCAGTACAAATGCAGGTGTATGATGTAAACCCCATTCTACAGAGCTGTATGTGTATCTTCGGGTGTTGATATGGTACAATGAGTATCCCATGTGGTTATGACAAGCAACAGTGTGCTCCGAATCAACGTAAGCCAGTTCTCCAACACTTAGGTACAGGTATTCATCAAAGTCTCACCCAGAACGTGAAGGAAGATATCTGCCCAGATAAAGCCATTCTTATTGGTTGCGTTGCACTGTATGACCTGTGAGTCGGACTTGGACAGGTTTGTAAAGGTAAGTTTATTTCCTACCAGTTTTCTTCTTGGATTATCAGGTTCAACTGGAAAACAACAATCCAATGACAGGAAATCTTTAGCAGAAACCATTCTGCATAACTCGATCAAAGATGGCTTACACTGAACAAAGCAAAACTATCAATGTCAACCCTGAATGATTCCACATCAAAACACTTTCATGTTTTAACCAAATAATATTTTTGAAAAAGAATTTGCTGTACAAAGTGTTCATGGATCATGCTTGTAATACTTTACTCAAACAAAAAAGTTTACATCTTCTTGCTAATGATCTTTAATAGACACTACTTCAAAACGTATATATATCGCTACGCAATGTCATGCATAGAGAGTGACTTTGGGTAAACTTCCATGGGTGTGATATACTCACGTTCAATTTGGTTCCCATTAATGTACCACTGGATTGTGGGCTCAGGGTTTCCTTTAGCTTCACATAAAAACTCGGCATTCTCTTCCACCCCCTTAGTCAGATCTCTCGGCTCCACCACCCACTTGGGGCGGGCTGCAAAGGGGATATAAAATATATAGTCATACATCATCAAATAAATCATCAAACGACTCAAGACTGCCTCTTTCCCCAACAGAAGTACAAAGATTGTTCAAGACAGTGGTTCCAAAATTGTGCTAAAGTTACCTCAGACAACACACAAGGTGAGTCAGTTTAGTCTTACGCATGTTTTAGCAATATTCCAGCAATACCATGGCAGGGACACCAGAAATGGGCTTCACACATTGTACCCATGTGGGGAATAGAACCCGGGTGTTTGGGTGCAGACTTGAAGCTACATTGAGTTTATGTTTTAACTTTTTACTTCATCTGGGTTTCAAGTTTCTTGTCACTCATTAAAAGAGACTGAAACTACTTCGACTTGTTTTTATTTCATATAAACTATACATTCATTTGGGAAATGACTTCAAATAAGACAATTCAAGGAGAAAAAACTATTGCAATAGTATTGAACAACCATGGTCGCAATAGACTATCGATATCGCAATAGTATGTTGCAATAGACTATTGCTATCGGAATAGTTGTTTCCTTCTCAATAGTCACTGCTACTGTTAACAGTCAACTCACCCTCCACCGTGAGCACGAAGGTCCTTCTGATGACCTTGTCATGGGCAGAGTTGCTTCCTTCACACACATACTCGCCAGCGTCTTCATACTTGACTCTCTTGATTTCAAAGTCAAACATATCCTTGTTCTGTTTCATTCGAGAGTTTAACTCCTTTCCTTTTCTCTTCCATACAATTTTTGCCTGAGGGCTGAAAGAGGACACATAAATTTCATAATGGAAATCAACGACACATTTTCATAACATTCAGTGAGCTTCACAAACAAAGTGCAAGAAACATACTGCCTCTGCTGCAATACAAGCCTGCTGGGACATCTAACATATTGCCTCTGCTCCAATACAAGCCTGCTGGGACATCTAACATATTGCCTCTGCTCCAATACAAGCCTGCTGGGACATCTAACATATTGCCTCTGCTGCAATACAAGCCTGCTGGGACATCTAACATATTGCCTCTGCTGCAATACAAGCCTGCTGGGACATCTAACATATTGCCTCTGCTATAAACCTGCTGGGACATAACATAAGCCTGCTGGGACATCTAACATACTGCCTCTGCTTACAAGCCTGCTGGGACAATATTGCCTCTGCTGCAAGCCTGCTGGGACATCTAACATACTGCCTCTGCTGCAATACAAGCCTGCTGGGACATCTAACATATTGCCTCTGCTGCAATACAAGCCTGCTGGGACATCTAACATATTGCCTCTGCTCCAATACAAGCCTGCTGGGACATCTAATATATTGCCTCTGCTGCAATACAAGCCTGCTGGGACATCTAACATACTGCCTGCTGCCTGCTGGGACATCTAACATATTGCCTCTGCTGCAATACAAGCCTGCTGGGACATCTAACATATTGCCTCTGCTGCAATACAAGCCTGCTGGGACATCTAACATATTGCTCTGCTGCAATATGCTGGGAAGCCTGCTGGGACATCTAACATACTTCCTCTGTTGCAATACAAGCCTGCTGGGACATCTAACATACTGCCTCTGCTCCAATACAAGCCTGCTGGGACATCTAACATATTGCCTCTGCTGCAATACAAGCCTGCTGGGACATCTAACATATTGCCTCTGCTGCAATACAAGCCTGCTGGGACATCTAACATATTGCCTCTGCTGCAATACAAGCCTGCTGTGACATCTAACATATTGCCTCTGCTGCAATACAAGCCTGCTGTGACATCTCCAACATTATTCCTGCAGGCATTGTCTCGTTTAAACATGGGTGTAAGTCTGAATGTATAGATCAGTCAGATTAAACATACTAATTCTCAATTTCATAAAAATGAAATAAATTGTCTTATATTATTTTAGCACATTAAATATAAAACCATCTACAGTACTTGTAAGTTTTTCCAGTACTCTTACATTGCGAAAATAAGAAGTACGTACTCCTGATGTTGAAAACTTATCTGGAGCCCTGCATCCAGCAACACTTCCATCGTATTTCTTACCAAACATAAATACCAAAATACACATACTATAAATGTAACGTGAGCCCAAACATGAGTATAAGCTTCATACTGACATAATGTAAGTAGTCCTGCCTTAAAAACAATACCATCTCATTAATAAGTAACAACCAGAAGACCTAGGAAACGATGAAATAGATTCCTGGATTAGTGAGTGAGTTGGGTTTTACGCCGCTTTTAGCAATATTCCAGCAATATCACAGTGGAGACACCAGAAATGGGCTTCACACATTGTACCCATGTGGGGAATCGAATCGGGTCTTCGCCGTGACGAGTGAACGCTTTAACCACTAGGTTACCCCACTGCCCCAATTCCTGGATTAGCAGGTAACAAGTGGAGCTCGTCACTGTACGGCACAAAGTCCTGTGCTACAAGTCACCCATGAAATGGAAATAGTTGAACACATCTGCCGTTACTGCACTGAGCCTGAGGTAGAATCTATCGTCACGTTTTCTTGATAACAACAATGGAGTTATATACAACACTTACTTTCCTGCGAAAATGCACTTGAACTTGGCCGTTTTGCCCACAAGTCCGAGCACCTTCAACTCTGAATGCCACAGAAGGGACACGGGCTCGTCTGCTGGTTCTGGAATAACATGACAACACATCTCATGACACGTCTGTATGAAGCATGATGAAAACTGAGCGAGCATCTCCTTTACATGATCTGTGCGAAGTCTCCAAGCAAATCTATAGCAGGAAGCTGATGCAGAAGACCTTGTTTACTGGAGGAGCTTTGTGGGAAAACACATCGGAAAAAGAAATAACTTTATCTTGGTAGCAAAACTTTTTGAACTGCACATGCATTTTAAAGACCAGTTTGTAAACAAACCAAATGCTCTTCATTAAAAACTTGAATTGGAGACATGAAACTAGGTCATGCTAAACCCTATAAATACCTGATATTTGCTCTGTTAACAAAACACAGCAGATATTCTTTCCTGCTTTTGACAACTCCCGCAGATGTGATTTTCACGAAATGATGGTAAGTTCTGTCAGTTGAAACCAAAGTCTAATTCAACTGCTTTGCGAAAATCTGAATGTCTAGCTAGTATGCAACTGTGAACTAGAAGCAGCCTAGCAATTGGTTTGTAATCAAAGAAGTAAATGGCGGCACTTTCAGCATGATGTGATTCAAGCATGGTATGGATAGGCTTGTATACACCCATCAGCCACATACTGCTTCAAGCTGGGATTTAATACATAGAAAAACATACAATGAGCTATGATAAAGCATGGAGTATCTGTCTAAGGTGAATGCATCGGGTTGATATCCAGAGTTTTACTACCCACTGTTTAAATGAGACAACATGGAAGAGGTTTAACTGTACACCCTGAAGAACTTCCCTATTTCCAACCTATTGTTCAAATGATATCATGTAATCACTTTGAGATGTCATGAACAAACCATGAGGGCATATTGTGTTTCTTCAAAAATGAAACACTGTGACATCAAACAGGTGACCAATTACACACTGAGAATGACTCAAATGTATATTTACAAATGAAAAGTTACTTATTTTCACACAATCATTCTACCTATATATGGGAAATAGAAACCCAGTAGTGTGCACTGATCCAAGCTTTGACTCATTTGATACAGACATTTTAACTAGCAAATCAGCAATGAGTCAAAAGTAAACACAAGCAACATTATGGTGGTATCTCAGGTCAATGATGAGTTCATATGAAAAGACTAAAATTTACTAGAGTACTGCCAAATATCTGACACTGGAGAAAGCTGCACTTGAGAAACATAAATATCCCCAAAGACTTTAAGATGATACTCTTCATATTCAATTCTCCTTTGAGTGTACAATGATGTCTGTGCTTTTAATGCTGCACTCAGCAATATTCTAGCTACATCACAGCCGTTTGTAAGTAATGAAGTCTGGACCAGATAATCCAGTGACGAACATCATGTAACTAGGGCACAACCTGCATCAACTAAGTCAGCATGCCTGACCACACAACCCTGTTACATTGCCTATTATGATAAGCAAGAGTTGTTTAAGACATCTAACCCAGATCTTCAAGAGTCTACATCGACCTAAGTACACTAGGTAGGGTATCTGTGCTTCATTTATAAAGTTCATTAACAATACGTTTATTCTAGAATTGAACAAGAAATCAGCATTGTAACTATCCCTGACCATGGGGGGAGGGGAGAACGACATTAGAACCTTGCTGTTCCCTTGCCAGCAGTCTACGTCTCCATTAGATAATTTAGGTTCTCAGACAACCCTATGTGGATCCTTTTGTAGAAAATCCAAAATAGCATTTAAGTACTTTGTTCATAAGGGTATAAATTACATGATACACACAGAAAGAATAGAAATAAATACAAAATATCATACAGTGCTAATAAAACACTAAGCAGCCTTGTCACCATCTATAATATGATGTACTGTGCAGAAACCTGTGATTCCCATATTTACATACCTGATATCACCACTGTCATTTGAACTTTGAATATGTGAAAAGCCCTATTCTGATTCAAGAGTTCTTAGAAGGGATATTCTACCAGAAATTCCTCACTGCCAGAGATACATATTTTGGTTCTGACGAAAAATAGGCAGAATGACGTAAAATCAAATGTTTTTTCTTATTTCAATACTTAGTGAGTGAGTCCTGATATGATATAATTAATAATGCTTTAAGAATCAATATTACAACTACATGTATGCCAGCAAAAGATATTTCACACTGGTTTTCTCAGGTTCCAGGAAAGCATGCTTGAAACATAAAATTGTTGATAGATTTATTGTTTAGAATCACAAGATATACAAACACTGTCCTTCTAATTTGGTTATGTATGAAAACATGCAATGTCTGTGATGAAAATGTGTTCAATCTGACAAGTGACTGACTTCAATACTGCAGTTAGCTTTCTGGTAATTCTTGTATTTAGACAGTTTTAAGTTTGATTTCTCTTCAATACTGATCGAAAATGTAAACACATGGATTCAAGATTGACATTCTTGCTTTTGGTCCATGAGCTACTTCCTTTCCCATGTTTACAATGTGTATATTCCCTGCCTATTATGTGATTCCCTTGGAATAAAACTTCTACATCCCTGCTATTTAATATATCCCATCCATAAGGCCATTTTAATCATCCCAAACTGCAAAGTACTGAAATAATTGGAACAAAATAAATAAATAGAAAGAATCTGAATTTCCCTCTCTGTTTTTCACCTTAAGTGATAAGCATAAATGTTTTTACTTTTTCTGTGTTCCACATTTCTTCATTTGGCAGCTTTCAAATACACACACACATAAAAATGAATTCCATCATGTGACCCGTAATGACAAACTGTATCTGAGTATAAGAAACATCACAGCATCATCTACAGAAACAAGCATGCAAAAGTTCTGCTTGGTCAATCCTGCAGTTTCAGAGAAGAAACTTAGAGAGCCAGGAATGTATCTGGAGGGAATTTAAGAGCATGGTCAAATGCAAAAGGTGAAATTGAGGTCACACTTACAAATATTGCAAAAGGTTTAACGTAAGTGTTGGACCCCACACATTTTCCAAAAGTGCATTTTGAAAAATATGGTTGAGTGACAGACATAAATAGTCTATATGCATGAATGGAGAGAAACTCATAGAGACTTGCTGGGACCTAAACGCAAACGTTGCAGCTTCTTAACCCCCCAAAGATACATAACCATTTGGAAAAGATGAACGATCCATCATAATATAACCATGATCTCTTTTGGAAAGGTATCAGTCCACATACTAACAGTAATAAGCACACTTTCTGAGGTGTATCTGTCAATATTCCTACAACAGTAATTACAATCAACTAAAACTGTACTTCACATGTTCATCTCAATGAATGTACTTTTGACATACACATGTGAAGACCCTGTTTGGATATATGGAGCAGTACTTAAAAAACCATTGTACCCTTCTGAGGAAATGTATAAACTATCTTTGAGTAAAACTGCCGGTATGTGTATCAATGACACACCTACACTTTCCCCTGTGTATGGATGAATTATACTACATTTGTAAGGAAACTATGGCAACGTGACCAGAAGTGGGGTAAAATATTAGACCATCACAGTATAAAGATAAGAAAAGCATGAAATGAATATAGAATATGTTTATAAAGCGACCCCTGTAAAAACCTTCAAAACTGATGCTAATTTATAAACCCATCAATACAGCAATCCAGATCGTAAATATCACTTTATATTATAGTTGTGCCATTGCTTGTCTTATTCTACTGAAACTGAAGAAAACTGGAAACTTTAAATGCAAAGAAACTATTGAGTTAGACTCCACCACATTCAGAGAGGACTCCACAAATGTTATGACAGAAACCACAAACTGTAGTCACTCAGGATTACATAATTACCATGTGTACACTGAAACACATGCATATGTACCTTGTGTACACTGAAACACATGCATATGTACCATGTGTACACTGAAACACATGCATATGTACCATGTGTACATTGAAACATGCATATGTACCATGTGTACACTGAAACACATGCATATGTACCATGTGTACACTGAAACACATGCATATGTACCATGTGTACACTGAAACACATGCATATGTACCATGTGTACACTGAAACACATACATCTGTACCATGTGTACACTGAAACACATGCATATGTACCATGTGTACACTGAAACACATGCATATGTACCATGTGTACACTGAAACACATGCATATGTACCATGTGTACACTGAAACACATGAAATTCACAACGCCTGGCAAGTGTTTGTTTATTTCTTGGTTCACAGACATTGTGTTGAATACTATATTGTCCTTGCAGCTGATATCTTTTAACTTGGGCATAAGTTTAACATGTCTTTACAAAATGTTTGACAGCAGCTTACAGATTACGTTTTTTCTTTACAACAATTCTTTTGATATTATCTAACAACAAATACAGAATACCATTACGATTAATGGTAAGGTTAACATTCAAATAACATTACTCTATAAATATACTGTGCATCAGTTAAGTAATGAATATTTGTCAACATTCAGTTTGCAAATCGGTCCTTTTAGACATGCTACTGATATGGCCTGTCTCAAATATCCCTTCCACAAAGCTGGCATGGCACACAGGTGATCGTAACTCCCACACTTTAACATAGAGCTGTGACTATCACTGTGCTATGATCGCTTTGTGTAACGGGTGTTAGGTGAGAGAAACCTGGGTATTATCTTCCAACAGATATATCCCAATTGCAATATCAGAGGTTAAAAGCCACGTAAGTCACACAGGCTTTAACAATAGCATCTAGTGATCAGCGCTCAATGTCGGTGTGGAATTACAATTTTTTTCCCCCAGGTTTTGAGTCTTGCCGAACCCACAGATAAGACATAATTGCTAACACTGTGAGATATCCTTTAGTCAGTAATATTTGGCAAATGTTAATAAGATGACATTTTCATTATGATTAGTTGTTAACTGATTATAACTAACTTAAAACATCTATGGTTTAAAACAGATGATAAAAGATGCTATTTATTGTCTTAAAGAGTAAATAACCCCAAAAAGTGATTTTGCTAGACAGAAAACTTGCAGATCTGTTACTCCCCAACAATTAAATAGGGAATTAAACTTTTATCTGACATCAAATATTTGAACTGACATCAGGATAAGCCTTTACATGTACATTCAACTGTACACAATCAAAAATCCAATTGGTAGTCAATCATAGATCTTCAGAAGAAAGAGAAACCATTCCAGAAAACTACTTGTTTGTATATTCAGTTTACAGTCAGGTTAACACATGTCCTGTACATGGTTACAGCTCACAGCACTACAGAAACATTAGACCGAGAAGAAGAGAATTAGTGTTATAGTAGAGCATTTTAGAAGAAGAACTACACTGGATTAAGACAGTCACTGATCCTAATTCTGCACAAGATTTGTAGAAGTTTACCCTTTTCACCGGGATCTGTAAATAACAAAATAAATGCTCAGCACTGACAGTATATGTCAGCTGGGATAGCATGGCTGACACATGGTGGCAGGTCACCAGCTGAAGCTCACATAAAATATCTCATATACAGCTGGTAACAGAAAACATCATCCACATTATCCAAAGTTGAAACTGGTCAGTCAGAGCAAAGCTCACAAGATTTTTTTTAATAAGTCTCTCTATTCAATACTGAAAGAAAATTAGTTGCACAATAATGCATACAAACAAAATTGATCAAGAAATAAAAGTAAAAATTCGAATTTCACCTGTAAGCATATGCATGTTGCTTGTTCATTTTTAGATGTATCCATCAGAAAGAGGATACTGAATGTCTGAGTTTTGTTTTCATTGACAGCCACCGATTATACAAGTCTACGATGTCTTTGTTGTGGGTATCTCAAGCACTGGATCGTCTGCATCAGATCTGATTCTTTACAAGCCCCCATCACATAGCAGAATATTGCATGGAATGGTGTTCATGAGAGTTGGTTTTTTGTGACTTTCTTCTTTTTCCCAAACCAGTTATCAGTAAGCACTGGTCCATACATGTAACCACATAATTTCCATTATCCAGTTTCTCAGGGGAAAAACATGCCAGACAATAGGATAGAACAGGCAGTCGTGACATAACTTCATCTTTACAAACATGAAAACATAACTGACCAGAGAGAAGCAAAATTGTTTTCCCTGCACCTATCTCCAAAACTTACGTTATTCTAGTCCCAAACAATCAAACTGTCTAGACATTTATATTGTCTCTACATCACCCACTTAACTAGGAAATATCAATTAACATGGTATAGAACTAGGAAATATCAATTAACATGGCATAGAACTAGGGAATATCAATTAACATGGTATAGAACTAGGAAATATCAATTAACATGGTATAGAACTAGGAAATATCAATTAACATGGTATAGAACTAGGAAATATCAATTAACTTGGTATAGAACTAGGAAATATCAATTAACATGGTATAGAACTAGGAAATATCAATTAACATGGTATAGAACTAGGAAATATCAATTAACATGGTATAGAACTAGGAAATATCAATTAACTTGGTATAGAACTAGGAAATATCAATTAACATGGTATAGAACTAGGAAATATCAATTAACTTGGTATAGAACTAGGAAATATCAATTAACATGGTATAGAACTAGGAAATATCAATTAACATGGTATAGAACTAGGAAATATCAATTAACATGGTATAGAACTAGGAAATATCAATTAACATGGTATAGAACTAGGAAATATCAATTTACTTGGTATAGAACTAGGAAATATCAATTAACATGGTATAGAACTAGGAAATATCTAGGTAAATATCAATTAACATGGTATAGAACTAGGAAGTATCAATTAACATGGTATAGAACTAGGAAATATCAATTAACATGGTATAGAACTAGGAAATATCAATTAACTTGGTATAGAACTAGGAAATATCAATTAACATGGTATAGAACTAGGAAATATCAATTAACTTGGTATAGAACTAGGAAATATCAATTAACATGGTATAGAACTAGGAAATATCAATTAACTTGGTATAGAACTAGGAAATATCAATTAACATGGTATAGAACTAGGAAATATCAATTAACATGGTATAGAATGACAACATGTGACTTAAGTCAGGACTTCGAGTGATGCTGATGAGTGAGTGACATCACAGTTCTCAGTTTGATGAGGGTTTGTTTTGTTTGCTGTTTAAGGCCACATTCAGCAATTTTCCAGCTATATGACAGCGACCTGTAAACCATCGCACCTGAACCAGACAATCCAGTGATTGACATGAGCATCGATCTACACAACTGGGATACGATGACATGCATCAACCAAGCCAGCGAGCCCGACCACCCGATCCCGTCAGTCGCCTCATATGACTAGAATGGGTTACTGAAGACCAATACTAACCTGCATCTTCACAGGTTTTGATGCATGTGGACAACTTGGCATGATACAGTTTTCGGACCTTTAAGAAATCATCATGTCTGAAGGATTAAGCTGTGTACTACGACTGTGTACAACTATTTCCAGGATCTCAGATGACCGACACCGGACTATTCATTCTGCTGTACAGTTTAAGAGATGATTTTCTAAACTAAAACTCTTTTCCCCCAACTTTGTAGCAGAACATAAAGGTCACTCACATACATCTGCAGATCTGACATTCATGGCTTCTGCCAATATACATAGAATCCATGTCTACTCATTCTACACCAGCAAGTGTATAATATGGCATCATGTGAAGGAGATACACAGCAACATTAGTGTACATATCTGAAAGTTGTTTTGACATGTATGCAGTGATGACAACCTTTCTTTCCTTTAAGTCAAAATTTCATGACTAAAAAACATGCGACATATGTAAGTAAGCCATGCTAGTTTTTCCTTACTTGTCACATTAATTTTTTTACTGCACCAAGCTAGAGCAGTGAATGATGTGATAATGCCTACTGTTAGCTTACATACACTCACAGCTATAGTTCAGCACTTAGGCACATGAATTAATTATTCTCACGCAACTCGGTGAAAAATCAACAGTTTATCCCTAAATCCACCATCAAAAGACAGCATTTTTCTACTTTCTCCACACTGCTTGCATACATCACATCCAACATCCAGGAGGGAAGGAGCAATACTTACTGCCAAATGGTTCCAGAATCTTATCCTCCCCTTGATTGAATGATCGTACAATCTTGTTGTTGGCCATGCACACATACTTATCCCCATCCTGGCCGTCCTCCTGCTTCACATTGGTAATATACAGATTACCCTTCCAATCCATCGTAATCCGATTATCCAAGTTCACAAAGTTAAACCCTTCTTCCGATTCCTCGTCCCGGTAGTCCGTGTCACCTTCAGATACAATAATCCAGCTGATTTTTGCTCTTGGAATGCTATTTGGAGGTGTACATGTAAGAATTTCTGATCGACCCAACAACGCCCTCTTGGTCTGAATCTCTGTGGTGGAGAAAGGGTCCATTCTTGCTAACTGCACATTTCTTTTAATTGAAAGAGATTTGCCGAAAATATTTTCAGCCACACACTGATATACCCCCTCATCAGTGGTCCGAGCCTGGTCAATGACCAAAGTACCCACATTAGACTGTAGGGTCATCCGTGCCTTGTTCTCTGTAGTACTCAGGTTCAGCTGAACACCATTTCTAAACCATCGATATCTGAAAATGAAGTCAAACCAAACTGTTTATCACACATAGGGAATGTCATACAAACAACATTGTACATCTTCATTGCATGTTGTGTCCAGCTACACCAACAACTCTCGATTACTGCTTCACTTCGGAGAGTTTCTAGGACATCTGTCCTGCCCCACAAGAAGCACACATGACACATGTGGTCTCACCTTAGGCAAGTGAGTTTGTTCAAAATTGCCGCTGTTCACCAAGCAGAAAATGGGTACATGGTGGGATAAGTTATGTGACTATTAACCTTCTAGTGCCGCACAGGCAGCTTGGGTTATCCAGGGTAGTGAGTTACAGCTTTGAGCTGTGCCTTGTACATGGAAAAGGCGCATATCATGAATTAACATTTATTATTATTATTATCATTAGAGTGCCACTTATGCACAGACCTTACTAGTCATGTGAGGGTTAACATGTCGAAATATACTTCTAGCTGAACATGCTTTACTAAATGGCTGAATATTGACGAGACAAAGTTGAACATTAATTTGGCTGTCCCTGTTACAGCTATAGTTACTGGAGCAATGTCAAGTTGATGTTGTATGCATGTAAATGGAGATATGACATTGGATCTGACAACCCATGTATCAGATCACGTAAAATACTCCAAGTTGGAAATGTTTCCTATAGGGAGGAATCTGAGTGAATGTTAATTTATGCAATTATCAGCAATTGTCCATGTAGGACAGCTGGGTCAGACAAACCAACATACAAAAGCATCAGCAAGGATAAATCCCAATGAGATCAGCAATGACACAGACCAACCACTCAAATCCTTAGAACTTTTAGTGAACATAGGTTTCTTTTAAGGAGAACACCCCCTTCTCCTCCCCATCACCTTCCGGTGCCCTCTGCCTACTTACACAGGCTCAGGTGATCCCTCTGCTATACAATCCAACTCTATCTTCTCCTCAGCTAAGTAATAAACATTCCTCTTAGTAGCTCTGGCAACACTGGGCGGCTTGGAGGCTGAAACAATGATAAAAAATATAAAATGTGTCAAGTTTTTACATACAGGAGGTAAAAGGACTGCTTAATGCAGGGAAAACTGAGCACTCAAGTACTGTCGGAAATAGAAACTGTATTTCTCATTGATCTCTACAATTTATGTGCATGTGTGAAATATCTGTTAAACTAAGTTCGGCCTAACTACAGTCTCAGTGGTAGGGACATAGGAAACGTAGAAAAAGGACTTTACTGAGGAGAGATTAGTACAGAAATGGGAAATGCAGGGGTTTTTTAAAGTCCAAAACGATTTATTGGGAACAGACCATGGCTTTATGCAAATTAGTGTGCGACGATATTGTATTACAAAGGACACTTTTTAAATGCCCAATTTGAAATTAGACTTAGCTTCATTATAAACGATAACTGGCATAAAAAATAATAACTGTCATGCTGAAACTATTAAAGATGTAGCTACTATGGAGTCTCACTGTCACTATAAAAAGAAACAGATAGGCTCGGGTTCGTCTCAAAAGCAAACCCTGGACGGGTGTCGCAGACGATCATTGGGGTCAGGCTGGGGGATAGAGATATCAGCTAAGATAAGATAATCCTTTAGGGCAATTATACTGGGGAAGTACACGGCATGTCATAACTGTTTACAAATAATATCCAGTCCTGTCGATTTTCGTGATCGGGTGGTCATGCCACCTATATATTTTGAGACATTTAATACGATGCATTTCTATGGTTATCAGGCATTATATTCTTTTACATATCTCAACATAAAATTTATGAAAGAAAGACACGTAAGATGTTAATCAATAGATGAGGCATAGTCAACACACATGAAAAAGCACAAAATATCTTTGAGATGACCCCTTGTGCCTGTAGGCAGCACATGCATTTCATGCCAGGTGAGTTGACGGTCCGTAATCATACCTGTCTGAGTGACCTAATTGCCATCTATAGTCTGATCTATTGTTTTCAGCAGCTATTCGTATTTTTTTCTAAGTTTTGCCTGATTTTACGAGTAAACATGCTTTTCTGGATATCCTATGACGCAGCCCACTGAATGCCCAGTTAGGCCGAAGTGGGTTATTTCGACATATGCTATTTGCAGTTGTGTAAATTTTAGGGATACAGAGTAACAGCCTAAAACAGTTTTTTTTCTATTTCCGACAGTACTTTAGATACCAGTACAGATGTGATTAGACTAAGGCTTAGTCTCTGAATATATATAATTTTTATAGTAACAAAGGAGCCCTAGGGAGACCAGAACCTGGGGAAATCTAGACTTGCTTCATTTAGGGCTTTAGCACTGCAGAGAGAGCTTGGCAGTAGGGAAAATAATGTGGTTCAGGGACTGTGAGACAGACTAAGATGTGATGTGCTTGTTACTCTACTAGACTTGGAGAGTGAGTGAGTGAGTTTAGTTTTACGCCACTTTTAGCAATATTCCAGCAATATCATGGCGGAGAACACCAGAAATGGGCTTCACACATTGTTCCCATGTGGGGAATCGAACCCGGGTTTTCCGCGTGACGAGCAAACGCTTTAACCATTAGGCTCCCCACTGCCCACTTGGAGAGAAAAACCACCAGTCACATTACCACCAGATATGTCTGTCCTGGAGTCCATGCTTGACAGCTATGCTGGCATGTTGTGTGACATTAACACCATAACTAGGACAAAACTACAATCATACCAATAATACTATAATATCAGTAATAGTATATTAATGAAACGAGAAAGTGAACAAATAAACAATTTAAGGACATCCATTAACAATATCAACAAAACTACAATGTCAATACAGCAATGATCACAACTGCAAATCATATCAATATAGCAATGATATAAACAATTATTATATAGGTAGATATTGTTTTACTCAGGTCAATAAAAACCGATATCGACCTCTACAAGAGTCTATAATTGTATACTATCACTAAAAGAATAATAATATAAACAACTATCAATAAAAGAATAATAATATAAACAACAAACTAGTTTAGCAATACCAATGAACAATATAATGGAATCAACAGCAGAACATCAGCTAAAACAAAATAAAATCAATAAAGTACCTTTGCTTCGTGCTGTTGGAGATAAGGGTAAGGGTTGTGTCTGTACTTACCAGGGTTAGACAGACTTTCTGTTGCTAGGGCCAGTCCTGTGGATAGGACCACCAGCACCAGGGCAGGAGGCAAACCTGAACCCATTGTTAACTCAGCATTGGTCCCTCTCTACTGCACTACCTGCAACATAATCCCAGAGTCACATGTCTACCTCATACAACTATTCTGTTTTCACAACTATATTATCTATAAACCCAAAATCATTTGTGCCTCAAGTTGCCCCTCTCTACTGCACTACCTGCAACATAATCCCAGAGTCACATGTCTACCTCATACAACTATTCTGTTTTCACAACTATATTATCTATAAACCCAAAATCATTTGTGCCTCAAGTTGCCCGTAGACTTTTACAAATCAAACAGAAGGTTGTCCACCTTCAAACAAGTCTTTGTTGTTTTATATTTTGGCAACGAGTAGCAGCAGCAGCAGTGATGGCACTGCTCTAGTTGAACACTAGGTGGCGTGCACATTAATGCTCGAAGACATACAGCAATAGAACCTGGGAGGCTTGTTGTGTGTTTGCCATATACCTGTTGTCTGATATCAAGCCAGTCCCTCACATGGAATGTTGATCATTATAAACACCCCAACTGTTTTCTTAACATCTGTAGCTCCAAAATGTCATCTTGTGAAAATATTGTGTAACCGTGGTAGCACTCAAAATCACGACTCCTGACCTTTCCAGTCACCAGAGGGAAACAGGAGTTTGGAATCCATATCTTTAACATACAATCAATAATAAAAATAAGCAGGGTCCTGGGGACTCGGGGCATATTTTTTTGAGAGTCCATTTCCAAAATTGGGAGTCAATCAATGTGCATGAAATCAATGATAATGGATGCTTCCCATTTGATAATGGTTACGTTATTTTATGTGTTACTTTCAATGTCATTAGAATAATGATTGTAAATAAAATGTTTTACATTTTAATATGGGACGTCATTACAAACTCAGAAAAGTCTTTCCCAGAAAAAAATTATATTGCGTCCACAAGGACTCACAGGGTTTTAGTTTGGGGGTACTTCACCAAATTTCTGCGTCCAATATGCAGGAATCTTGCTTCCCGTAAAACCCAGAATAAGTATTCTGTTTGGTAACAGAAATTAATACTTTGTAAATCTCTAATCAAGTTGATACAATAAATGTTTAAAATCCTGTCTTCTCATTGTCCAATTTCACTATGGTAACTTTAACAACTGTAAACATTCCTGGGGCCTAAATAATCATTTTAGTATCGGAAATCATAACATTGTATGTATACAGTATTAGACTAATATTTACTGATGCTCTGGTATCATGATACAAGACAACATCACTAATAAAGGGTGTATTATATAGATCATGATGTTTAGAAATTTAAGAAGTTGTCTACTAGCAAGACACTTCTTATCAATACAACATTATCTTTATTCACATATACCTGTACAAGTTAGGCCAGTACAGTATCACAGAGGCAGGGTACACATGGTAAGTGTATGAACACAACGATCACAGAGGCAGGGTACACATGGTACGTGTATGATCACGATCACAGGGGTAGGGTACACATGGTATGTGTATGATCACGATCACAGGGGTAGGGTACACATGGTACGTGTATGATCACGATGATCACAGAGGCAGGGTACACATGGTACGTGCATGATCACGATGATCACAGAGGCAGGGTACACATGGTACGTGTATGATAACGATCACAGAGGCAGGGTACACATGGTACGTGTATGATCACGATCACAGGGGTAGGGTACACATGGTACGTGCATGATCACGATGATCACAGACGCAGGGTACACATGGTACCTGCATGATCACGATGATCACAGAGGCAGGGTACACATGGTACGTGCATGATCACGATATCACAGAGGCAGGGTACACATGGTAAGTGTATGATCACGATGATCACAGTGGTAGGGTACACATGGTAAGTGCATGATCACGATGATCACAGGGGCAACACATTAGGAACAGCTTCCACAAGAGTTATGGCATCTGTTGTTCTTGGATTGAATCAATTCCTGGTTTGTGCACTCACTGTTCAAATATCACATCTAACAGACACAAGCTCCTATCATGTTGTCAGCAAACTGAAGACATCAAGAACAGTCAGCAGAACAATCTGTTAGCCCAGTGTTTCCACAACACTGAATTGTGGTGTTCATTAGCAGTACTGGACCAATGTTGAGGTGTGCATGGTGGCGGGTCCTGCACTGCTGGCAAAACGGGGAGAAGTGAACTTGTACAAAAGAGTGCTCGCCATGCCACTGGGAAGTGGGGGCACAGACATGCACACTGTCACATATTGTGTGGTCATAGATATGCTCAATGTCACAAATTTTGTCTGTTTCTGTTACCAGCTACTAGACTGCAATAATGGACCTGATGACAATAGACAACCTGGCCTAATGGAATTCCACACTGCAACTTCCACATTCAACCTTTTCAAGCGTCTGCCTACTGATAATATTTTGTTCTGATGTTGTGATGCATATCCCAGTTCCTGTCAGTCCAGATAGGTGGTTGCAATTAACATGGGTCATGTTCACCCCAACAGGCTTGGGTCAAGCTCTGCAACAGTGATAACTGCCACTTCAAACACATGTGAAGGTTGGAACAACTCTCAAACTAGAGGCGCTTCCTGTAGAACAAACAGAGCCACGCTTGTCTTGTTTGGGTAAAGGTTAAATGATGTTTCACTTTATTTTTCAAGGTCTGGGAGAATCCTTTCCCTTGCCCTCAAGTTGACGTCTGCTGATGTGGGCAGTACTGAAAGTCACTAGTAATTCATCGCACTTCTAAAAATGTCTAAATTAAACAATTTAATTATTTTATCCAGCAAATAGTTAATGAGCAAAGACATTTGTTTGCAAAAATCAGACTTTTGAAATTCAATGCTGCAGCGGCCATCTGAAAATGGCAACTTTGGTGTTGATATGAAACAGATATCACAACGTATAAATTGAACAATGAAAGCATGTATGTACAAACTCTGATATGTACAGCCAAGAGTCTGCCATAAATTGGAAGAGGACCCGGTTTGGCAGACAAATGAGTTGACTCCGGTGCTGTTCAGTGTTGAGCTGAGGTACATTTCTACTGCACCCGACAACTACAGCTGCAGACCTCACACCACTGTACTCCGCACCATCAGTCAATAACATGTGCCCACATGTACTGCAGCAATGATTGTGAGAGTGCTCACCAGTACTCTGCTGGTGGTCACAGATGGCATATGCTAAACGCATTACAATGAAATACATTCACAATACGTCCATAAACATGCTTCCATATTCCACTACAGTCAGACCTGGCAGAACAAAGAAGATTCACTGATTCATTGACAATAAAGACTAGCTGACCAATTTCTTGGGAAAACCAAACTCAATCAATTGAACAAAAACATGAGGGAAAATGGATGCTCAGCCAGTAACCAGCTACAAGAGAAATCAGGACCATAAACTACTCATAATTTATTGTCAGTTGGTTAAAAACTAAATAGCTTTACACCATCCCTAAAAAAACAGTATGATACAAAGTGAGTGTTCAGTTTTACGCCACTTTTGGCAATATTCCAGCGATATCAGAGGGGGGACACCAGAAATGGGCTTCACACATTGCACCCATGTGGGGAATCGAACCCGGGTCTTCGTCGTGATGAGCGAACACTTTAACCACTAGGCTACCCCACTGCCCCGTATGACAGAAAGCATCTATGTCTGAGTTACATACATAGAACACATTAATACCAGTAAGAAGTGTCACAAAATGGCCAGATATGCAATTCTGCTTTCCTTGACAGATCAGTGTGAAGACAGTGAATCAAAAAGGGTGGTAAAAAGACAAGGATCACAAGCACAACCTTCAGTTCATGGCAGAAAGTGGCTGAACAGGAAGCTGTAGAATGTCCATAACCTTGAGTCACTCAGATAGATGAGCACTCTGGTGAATCCATTCAGCAGATATCAGCATAGGGTACATCTCATATGTACCCATGAAGATCTAGGTTAAAATTGCTCTCCTGTAACCCATGATAGATGTTAGAGACGACTAACGGGATCGAGTGGTCAGGCTTCCTGACTTGGTTGACACATGTCATCGCATCTCAACTGTGTAGATCGATGCTCATGATGTTGATCATTGGACTGTCTCGTCCAGACTCCAGACTGTAGTATTTACAGTCTGCTGCCATATAGCTTGATTGTTGCTGAGTGTGACATTAAACAACAATCAAACAAACAAAATCAAAATATTTGATACAGCAACATCATGTTTCCCCAGGTCCTAAACCAAGCACTTCCTGTATGCATTATTCTGGAAAGTTTCAGGGCAACTTACACTAAACAACAAACTGATTTGTACATCATAATCTGAATTCAATACCATAGCTCCATACAAAACATGCACAACACTGAGACAGTTCTCTGATGAAGGAGATTCGTAACATTGGTAATGATGATTGTCACTGCTTCAGTGGGTAACCAGTCTGCAATGAATGCCATCTACTTCTCTCCAGTTAAAACATTTAATATGGGTTTCAGTAAAAACATTCCCTCTGTGTATCTGCAGAAAGAAATAGGAAGCAAACTCCATTTTCTAACACCTGACTACCTACCTTAACCAATTAGTCCTGAGCAATGTGTAGAGGTGTATCCTATTCAGCACATGTAATCCCCAGCATGCTCCCTTTAACACCTATAGATACATGTGAAATGTGTCTGGACCATCCCCAGCCTATAACCACATGGGACAGAGCTCTCTCAGCAGGTGCTTGCTCAGCCCAAGGGCATCATCAGTAGCTATCACTAATATCTCCAGTCCTGCTTAGGAAGGGACTACAATACCTCCTGATGATATCTCCAGATCTCTATTGTGTTGGCTTCAAGAGAACCAATTCTCAATATTGCACCAATGCTATCTTGATGACATCTCGGTCCTCACCCAGGATCCATAGGTCAATACAGCAGGGGTGATATCTCCCATATCTCCCTGGACACTCGGAATAACCTGACCCAGGTATCTTTTCCTCATCAAAATACCCCATGCTTTACTGCCCTGGGACATTTACATCCTACTAAGACAGGAGTGGGCAAACATGGCCATATTCCCTGGTCAGTGT